CTGAAAAGGTTTTCAGATATGATAGCGAATAAGTAATTAATCCAACCCAATACTAACGTTGTAATTCGCTGGTTTTTTTTACTAGGTGTTGTAATACTAACAACAAGGTGCTATGATATCTATATCGACCGCATTTGCGCTGATTTAAAAGAAATAATACCCTTTGTATATATATTTGATTATCTCATGGTATAGTGCGGAGTTATGGTAATAAGAGACATGATGGATTGCTACGTTTTATTTAATATGAATACTATAGAAAAGTTGTCTGAGTTTATATAAGTAAAAATAAGATTAGCTATTATCAAGTAAGTCGGTCATATAGTGAAAAATCAATTTTTCTAATATCTCTAGATTGAGATTTATGAGTTGATTACAAGAATGTTGTAGTTAGTAACTATTTGATTAGTTGTTAGTTGTCATTAGTGTTGTCATCAATCTTTGCAGATCATTAATATTATTAAATAACAGTAAACAGGGTTCTAAAGAACAGAATATGTACAGATGAAATGAAAAATAGTATCCTCTAGTTGGTTAGTTGCAGCTATGATGCTGAATATTAAAAAGCATTTCCTATTTCGGTTGCCTGTTCTCCAGTGGGTCAAAAGACAGTAACATAATGACTACTATCCCTTTTATTAATAGGTATATGTTAGGTATATGTTATGATTATATCTATGCTATAATGTTCTACTTGTCTTACATATTAAAAGATTCTTTCATCTACGGTCAACTATGATAAAAGACGTTATACTCTAATTCACTAGGTAAGACGTTATAATAACTGAATTTAGAGTCTGAATTTCTGCTTAAATACACAATAGAATAGCGATGCTGTTTTTGTATTCGTTACATCCCTCTCCAATTGCGATTATTTCCGCCTGAAAAACGCTGAACGAGTTGAAAAGAATATATGCGTCAACAGCGCAATCATCTTGAAATCATTCATAAGTTTGCGTTAGAATTCACCTAACAAAGATCTCAATCAGTTTCTTTTGGAAGGCAACGTTAGTAAAATTATTGTCGAATCTGATCTTCACGACAATATAATTAATCAGTCTTAAAAATTCCAGCATTAATATAATGTGTAGTTTCAAAATTAATTGATGTATAAAATCTGGTTTAATTTTGTTCAGGTATTAAATCAACCTCAGGTTTATCCATTTAGCATGTGAACCTGTTATAAATATTGACGGTCGCTTCCAAATTATTTTAGCATAATGATACAAAAGCTAGTATATATACTAGGTAAAATAGAAATTTTAAAAGTGATTAGTGAACCACATCTTTTACTTAATGCCATCAGGTCTTTGCGTAGACCGACTGGTGACACCACAAGAATGGCGATTGAGTGGAACCCGATGGGTAGCACGGAAATGTCACACATGCGGAAAGGCTGGGGTAAGTTGAAGCTATTGGAACCAATCGTACCGAGTGGAAGTTATTTGTTACGGCCCTTTGTTCCTCCTAGGAGTTAAAGGATAAATATATATATATATATATTTTAAAAATATTTACTAAATATCGCCTTCAACATAACTTCCATGTTTGGAGTTTTCGAATTAGATCTACAGATAATAATAGACTCTATATCCTTTATATAAATCGATTAGATGAGGTGATATTTATATTATAATTTGTTATAAAACTTCATCTAAAATCGCAAGACAAAAGATTTTTTTACATTCTGCTAGATTGTATCAGTAATAATTAAATGTTGGCTATAACTATATACATTGAAACAATATCCAAATATGTCAAAACTCAACTCTGGAAATTTCAACCCGCTGTCAATGGGTCAAAAATATGACTAAGTAATATATCCTTGTCCACACAGATGAATATCCGAATGATATCATGATCACTTCAGCCCTCCATTCATGCTGTATCAGTCAACCTCTTTCTTTGTATCGTGAACATATCGTAACTATTGCAACGAAGCTAACATCAGTAAACTTCGTTTGTATAATAGCAAAATTCTCAACAGGCCTCCACCTGAATAGATAATGGATAAAAAATGGATAAAAGAGAACTTTTGTTTTTGCTCGTGCAGCAAAAACGGTTCTTAATCAATTGTGGTTATAACATATAAGTAGTCACGTCTTAAACAGTTACTTGTGACGCAAGTCAATTTCAAATTTATTATTTAACTTCAATTCTACTAATCATGATGGGTGTGTCGACTCGACTATTTTTATTTTTAAATGCACTCATTAATTTGGGCTCTATTGATAAGGGGCTACACCCCATTGAAGTAGCTAAATTCAATATGTACCTATCTACAATTTTCCCTATCCGCCCACTATTCATATCGCAAAATCCTTCTTCCTCATTACTTACACCCATACCTATCCTAACTCGTGTATTCGCCTCGTAATTCGATTCATGTTTCAATAAAGATTTTCACGGATTGCAACAACAAGGAATATAATAAATTCTGTTTTTGGTCTTTAACCAGAAATTATATTACTATTTCTATTATTTAATGACATTTATGTGTAGATGCAGCCATAGTAATAAATTCAAAGAATACGGTTTCCTACTTCAATCCTATCGTTTTCCTATTAACATCATTTGAAGCAAATTTGTACTGTGATCAGAATTCATTCCATGAACCAGAAATTATGAAGCACAGGATTTTCAGTTTAAATTTAAAAATTAGTTATAATAAATACAATACAATGGTATAGTTCCATACATATATAGTTCTTTATATGTAGTCTGTATAATATTTTAACATATAAATATAGTTGAGCGTAATTTTTTTAATCACAGTATTTAAATTACTTAATTCGTTTTTTTTTCTGTTAGCCAATTAGGAAAATTGCACCCAATCTGAAATTAAATAAATAAATATAAATATTATATTACTCTTTTTTTTGTGATTAAAAATATTAAATAATAATTTATAAGAGGGCTAAAAAACTATAATATATTATTTATATTTAAAACAAATTATTTTATTAAGATATTTTCCAATATTTAGTCACCTTCAAGGAAACTGAAGATATCGATATCGAAGATAGTCGAAATATTGGAAAATATCTTAATAAAATAATTTGTTTTAAATATAAATAATAAATTAAAGTTTTTTTATTTTTACTTAAATGACTTATCTGCTCACTTATAAATTATTATATAAATAATATATAGAGTTTATAGAGATAGTATCTAAAAAATATATTTAAAAGCATGATAGTATGATGAAGTTTAAGTTTTTAAAGCATGAAACTGTTTTCGAGCAATGAAACACACTATATTTTTATAATTCCTTTTATTATATATTGTATAATTATATACTTAATTTTTATTTATATAAAACAATATTTTTCTATCACATACATTATATACGCAATAAACACATATACATCCTTTTAGATTTATTTATTTGCAAATGTAACTTAATGATTGTTATTCTTAATGTTTATGCAAATAATAGTAATACATGTTTAATAAAGTTTTCATATTAAATAATTAATAAGGAACAATTAAGTTTTTTTAATGTTTTATATAACATATATTATATATGACAAAATTGATTGATATTCACTATTTATATATAAAATTTAATAGCAAAAAAAAGTCTCATTTGAAACATTTAATTTTTTTAATTATTAGGAGTAGAATATTTATGCGTGCTCTCGAATAACACATCAAAATTTTGAGATAGGTGGCATTATTATTTTGTTCCCAACAGCATATTTCTACAGATTTTTCTTACTACTCCTATTTTGTAATAACGCTGATCTATATAAGAATATATGAATTATTTAACAATCTTTGATAAATAACTTTTACAGCGAAATAATTTGTTTCAACTTATGACTTTATATTTAAATAATGTAATAGTAGGGATAATAAAAATATGTCTTATCGTTTAATATGAAACTCTACAAAACTGCTCTTTAGGTCAGTTACAGATTATCTTTATGTACTGACATGACTAATCAAATTCTTAAATTATATTTTAAAATAATTTAATTAAAATTGATATTTAAAATTGTTAATAAAATTTATATATAATATTGCATTATTAAAACTAACAGTCTACGTATTATTAAAAACAAATCCTTAAAATGTAATTAAAATCATATATGCTTAAAATCGGAGTTATATTTTCACAAATTTCTTTTTCAAATTTTTTTTTAAGTTTTTTTATTTACTTAAAACTAACATAGATTTAGAGGAAGTATCCATTAAGTACTTATTGAAATACTTTAGGATAATTGAATATCATATATAAAAAATTACTATATTTTTAAAAATAAAATATATTGTTAATTTGTGAATACAGAATATATAATTTTGAAATGGAAAAGCTTACGAAAGAATAGAAATTAATTTTTAGTATAAATATAAAAGCGTTTATATGATGGAAATATGTTTAATAATAAATGTTTAATAAAATTTAAATGAATTTTTTTTATTATTTACTACGAAACAAAAATAACAATAAGTATTATACATAAGTTAACACGTTGTATGTGCTCAAAATAAGTTATAAAATACATTTAAAAACATTATAATTCATTACATGTTTATTATGTACGGAGACTATTTTTAACTATTTTTCTTTTATTTTAATAAATAAAATTAAAAACAATTAGGCAAAATGGTGTTACCTAAATAATTCAAATATATTAAAAGATATTTTAATAAGTATTTAAAACTTTTCAGTTAATGTTTTAATTGTGATACAATTCTAATAATTAGACATTATTATAATCCAATATATAAAAATAAATTTTAAAAAATTGAGATTGAAAATAAAAAATTTCTATATATTAAAACGCAATTTTCACCATTTTGCTAAATTGTATTACTAATTTACACTAAATGGTATGTTTTTTTAAAAGAATCTTATTACGTTAATTTACATTATTACAAATAAATAATTACAAAAAACGTTAATATATAAAAAATTATTTAATTTTGAAAACAATTGTTTGAAACACTACACAATTTTTTATTTTTAACATAGTTTTTTCCACAAAAAAGTAAGAACTCTTGTTCACCTATTTAGCTCAATTTGGTTAAACTTAAACTATATAAATAAGTTAATTTTGAAAAGCTTTATAAACCGTATATAAGCCATTAGAGAGCTAATTATATTGCTAACCAGGTTTTATCTGGTCTTGATAATAAATAAATAAATAAATCAGTAATAAATAATTTCGTTACACACTTATGACTACTTTCACTCGAATTAGTCGAATGAGGACTTGGGTCCTCAATGTTTTTAAATTGTATTCAAAATATTTTAAAATACATAAAGTTGAGTTATAAATATGTGTTTTTATATGTATGTATGTTATTTTTCGATGGTTATTAGTAAAATTAGCAATTTTGTTACTAACAGATTTTATGAGTTGTTTCTTATCTTTTCATGCTATTATATTCCGCATAATAGTTAGCTAAGTTTCTTAGCTGCGTCACTGCAAAACCATTGCCGAGGCGTTGAATACTGCGTAAGAGCAGCGTACGCTCAACTGGTGGACTTTGTATGATGGCAATGGTTTTGTAGCGACGTTTAAGCAAATATCAGTTAATAAATGACATATAATTTGTAAAAATCACATAGTTCTCTACTAACCGTGCGCACAATTCTTGTCGCACCGTTGCTGTAAATTTATTGGCTAAACAAAGTGCAGTTGTGGTACCAAAGACTAGATTATACAAAAGCACAATCTGAAAATTTCCCAACCATTCGATAGCGCCAAAATCGCCAAGCAAATCAAAGTTGGTAATGCCTATGAAAAAAAAGTAAAAAAACATTGATATCAGCAAAACCATAAATATTACACCTAAACTTACCAATTATTCTACTGAGCAGTGGCAAGGCTGAACTTAATATCAACACTAACGCGCAATTGAGTATCAATTGAGATAGTGAAGTTTTACGTTTCTGTGGACGTACATGGCGCATAAATGGCATTGTATAAAAGCCCACAGCAGAGGTTGCTCCTAAATATAATATTAGGAAAACCTCTAAGCCCGCACCAAAGGGTCCAAGTTTGGACAATGAACTTATGCCTAGTGTAAATTGCTGCAAAAAAAAGGTAAAAATAAGATATATCCGATTTTTAACAACGAAAGCAATAGAATAATGCTTACCCTCGTACTTAATGGCAACGCTTTAATACCAATAAGTAACTCGAGTGTGTTCTGCACAACAAGCAAAATAGTTACGCCTGTTAGGAATAACAACAGTAACATTGCAAAAGGATATACAAAATTACGTTGAAATGCTGAAGATTTACGCAATTTATCCAGTTCTTTGCGTTCAGACTCCAATTCTCTCAGTCTTTCATTGAGTGCGGCTTCTTCGTCGTTTAGTTCGCCGTTCATTGGTTTTCGTTGATATAATGTTTTTATAGATGGATGATAATAACTGCTGTTAAATTCATGCGGCGAGCTAGTATCAATGCTGTAACTTCCATGACTTTCGTTTCTATTATTGCTATTATTTATTAAATGACTACTATTGAAATTGCTGTCGTTGAAACTGCTATTGCTCAATTGACTAGTATTTAATCCATTATAACTGAATCCATTTAGTCTTCCGATTTTACTTTTATTTTCCATTTCTCGTTTAGTCAGCTTACGTCTAACACTAGCCTCTTCCACATGAAAAATGTAATATTTGTCATTGACTTCTCGCAACAGATGAGGTTTAACAAGTACTTGACCCACAACGCCAAACAAGCGCACAAAGCCGAATGGAGTGCAGACTGTAAAATATATAGTTTTTCAAATAAAATAATATATTTATAAATGTTTTTATATATATTTAGCTTATAGCTCTAACGATTTTGCCGTTTGCTGATAATTGTTATTATAACTTACATACACAGCAGACGCTTCAAATAACAATAGCTGCATATAAAATACATCACATCTTTTATTTTAGCGAGAGTCTACTGTATATATGTTATATTGGAACAGAGGAAGTATTTAACACACAACTACTACACAAATCATTATTAAAGAACTTAAGAACCACAATCAGAAACAACGGAATTCGTAATCCTGTTGTAAACCTAGAAGTAACACATACACAAGGTGGGCTTGAATGCGAGTGAGCTGTAAAAGTAGAAAACAGAATAGAATAAAGAAAAGTAGAGAAGAAAAAATGATATTCTTAAACTAAACTCAGATTCAAATTGACGACTGGGTGAAACGAATTCAGAAAATAACTAATTAATAATTAATTACAAGATTATAATTGCTACAATTGTTGTAGTTGGAGTCACATTACTCCATTGGGATAGAATAATTACGAACACGACTAGAGTTAATTACTTATGATTAAAAATCGTAGACGGGAGTATTACGATCTCACTTAGTCTAGCTATTGATTGAATGTGGCTGTATGCGTCTTATCCACCACGACGGTCAAAGTAATTTTGTAAACATTTTAATAGTTCTCAATCTGTTCTACTACAAACTGCAATCCAGTCTCAATAGATTTTCCTCTATATTCGTGTTAAGATGCAGATATATTGTTCCACTAATTATCGTTTAAGTTAATTTCGTATAAGCTTAACGAGGTATAACAGGGTTATTTGAACTCACTATATAGTATTTATGACGTTTCAATACAGTCAAACTGCAAGAAAAAAAAAAGAATACAAATAAGTTATTACTGCAATGGACACAGCATCAATGATGCTGAGTATGCACAAAGATTAACCCACTCTAGTTGCTACAGGCATTCATCAGATATTTGCAGCGATTAAATACGTCTTTTTCGTGCAAAAACAACTTAATTACCTAACTAATTCGCCAATTAATTTTCCAACCCAACTCAGTTCGCTTGACATACTGCTTCACCTCATTGAGATTTTAAGCTTTCTCGATTTAAGTTAGTTTCAATATACCGCCAATTTTTCTTCTTTTCCCACAACTTATATCTTGCATATTTCTTTAACCATTTTTCATTCATTACCAATTCATCTCAAGTGTTTGTCTTGTATTCCTTTAATTTTTATTCTTTCAAGACTCCCATATGGGATATAAAACAATAATAGTACCTTTTATTATAATCAAAATATGATAACCTGAATCTAGTATATAGATAAATTGTTGACATCGACGAATCCGAACTTGATTTGTGTATTCGAACTTGAAGTTTTGTGGCTTTGAAGCAGTTACCTAACCTAACACGAACGCTGACTCTAAGCTTCAAATTTGACAGGGTACGAGTTCAACCCTTGATAGTTGCAGTCTCAAAAAATTATTTATGATTAATTAAATAAAAGAAATAATTTCTGACCACTGATGATGGGTATTTATTAATACTCGAAACTGCTGTATGGTGAGCCAAAAATTTAATTAATTAAAAATAATAAAAAAAGAATTTTTATTGTTGTTGTTCACTACATTTCGAAATCTCTCTATTGAATACAATAGTCTCTATTAAGTAAAATAGTCATTACAGTCGTAACTGACGGTACAATTTAGAGCCATGTTTTGCAGAGTGTCTCGGGCACGGCATGAGAGAGTGAGAAATTGAGAGTGAGAGAAAAAGCAATATGTCGGTTCAAATGTCGGCATGAGTGCGAGGCTATATGTGCCTCAGCACCTAGGCAAAGCAGTGTTTTTAGTAATTAATGTCAGAATTTGCGTCTTTTAGGTGTAAATTACTACAATTTTAACACATTTTAAAGAAAAAATGTCAGGAAGCAACACAGCCTATTTTATAAACTGTTAATAATCTTCCGTTTTTAAGAAAAGGCATATAACTTTATAAGTACTGTTAACAATTATTATAAGATAATAGATCTGTTCTACGAGCTACTTGTTGTTACTTTGAGTAACAGGTGTGTATACATAAGTGCGTCCCAACAGCAAATTTTCGTGTAAATTTTACTTATGTTTTGAGTTTTAGTACGAGTAGCTCGTGGAACAGACCTAATATAATAATAAATTAACATTACATTATTACAGTTTTTTCTCGCTGGTTATTTTTGGTGGCATATTGAAAGTGACATTTCGTTTTAAATTTAGGCACAACCACAAAGTACCAAAACATTGTAAAAATACGAAATTGGCAATACTGATGTGACAGTCTACATAACATGCATTTTCGGCATAGTTCCAAAGATCAAATTTTGCGGTGCCCGAAACACTCTACATAACATAGCCCTTAGTTTAATTTTGAAATATTCGAAGTAAAAATCTTATCCAAATAAAAAAAAACTTGAACATGTCAAATGTTTATGCCTGGGGATCATGGCAACAATGTTTAACATTGTCATAGTAATCAACGATAATAAATATTAAAACTGTTTTTATAGAAATTTTATGAATTTGATAAATATATAGATTGAAAAATTAACTTAAAAAAAAAAATTTATTTTGCATTGTAAACTAAATAAATAATTGCAAAAATGAATAATCAAATGAATGAAGATTTTCTCGAGTTCGAATCCAAAGTCAATCAAGTTGTCAAACTACTGGATGATATGAGCAGCATTGGAAAATCGGATGCGGATGCTCCAGTAAAGACAGAGATGTAAATAAAAAAAATTAAGTTTATTGAAAAATCTGTTTAAAATAATTTTATTTCTTTATTTATATTAGTCTTTTTCCTGATGACATCACTGAGGACAACCTAATAGTTCAAGTTAAAGAGGATCGCACTGTAATTAATAAGAAAGTCTTTCCTTTGAAACCAAAACCCAACTTAGTGCCAACCCAACTTGATAAATTTACATTTATGCAACAAATCGAACAAGATGCGGATCAGCGTGCTGCAGCTCGTCAAGAACGTGAACGTATAGCTCAAACTTTCCGAAAGTAAGTTTTTATGTAAACTACGAGTTGTAATCAAGAGCAAACGAGAATCTTTAATTTTAACAAATTGCATCAATTTCTTTACATACAAAACAGTTTGCTTTTTAATACCCTCCTTTAATGTTTAGCCATCGTAGTTTCCAACTTGTGGAAACACTGTTGAAACGCTTGTTTGGTCAACTTTAGTTCAAGGCATCTGTTATTGTTTGTTTAAAAAATATAAAAAATTCACAGGGTCCCAAGTCTAAAAATTGGAATTGTTGTGACAATATTCAATGTTATTTAATGAAATGTTAGGTTATTCCGGCGATCCCTAGGTGATCCATTTAGGCCAATTGGCCCATTGTGTTATAATGAAATGTTGGATAAGCAACACATTTTGCTGCTACTAATTTTATGCCCTAAATATTTGTAAAAATCACTTCGTATGTGTAATTTGACATAATTATTTCTTTAGCAGCCCCTCATCAAATAGTAATTATTGTGGATATGTGTGGAAGCTCAGATCTTTAGTCATATTCAGTGACTTCTCGACCCTCCTACAAGCGTTTTTCACGTTTTTAAACCACAATTTTACGCTAATTTTTTGTTCCAACATTTAGTCACAGAAAAACCTGCAACCACACTAGCGTTTAGTCGCTTGAAGAACAGACTTATTCGGACCTGCATGTTGGTACGTCTATGTTATTGGAAATGCAACCAATTCAAAACAAAACTAGATTAGATAAAGAAAATACGATGGATGCAATTTAGATATTCTCGTTTCTAATTGACCACACCCAGAAAATAAAAAATAAAAATTCTTGCTTTTTTTAGACTAGGGAATGAAGCATTTCGTAAGCCAAACTATGAGAAAGCTATTACTATGTATACTCAAGCCATTGATCACGTCAAGGACAGTCCAATTTTATATAATAATAGAGCATTAGCTTACATTAAGTAAGTGTTTGATAAAATTCAATCTAACATATATACTATTTTTTTTATTATATATTCAATTAAATTTTATAATTGTTTAAATTAAATTAAACCAACACTCCTTATTTGAATTTTTTATGTTATTTAGGCTTAAGAACTTTAAACGTGCTGTGATTGATTGCAATTTCGTTTTAAACAAATTGGAGGAACGAAATATTCGGTCCTGGCTTTATGGTGCAGCCGCATATAAGCGTTTGGGAGATGAATTGAATTTTGAAAACTACGTAAAGTTCGCCAAAAAGCATAACTCTAAACAGCATGAATACATTGACGGATTTGTTGAAAAAATTAAAATGGGACAGTTTTAAATAATTTATTTTTACAAATATTTTTACAGATTCTTTCAATTATATATTAAAACAGTATGTTTACGCAGTATGTTTCCATAATATTTAAGATTATTTGAATTCCAAAATGAAATTAATTTTTTAGACATACCAAATTCAAATATTTTTGACAATAAATTTATTGCGAAATTAAAAATAGTTTAGAAATGTTAAATGAAAGCTGACATGTGATTGTAAGAAAATTTTACAAATATGCTGTAGTTTTAACAACATCACGATTTAATTGTTATTTGATTTCTAATAGATAATCTTTTAATTTATGTAAAGAAATTTATTATTTGTATTAATTATTTTAAATCAATCCGTGTTAGTTTTTATCTATGTAAGAGAACGGCCTCGTCCTTTGTTACAATACTGATACAGTGCTCACAGTTTTTTCCAACTAATTTCTAATCGTTAGCTCAATTAGTTCAAACTTATTGTTCCAATAGATTATCTCTAGTTAAAATCGCATAATGTATTCTGTGTAAGCTAATAAAACTGACAGTCATAAACACACTAGTCGGACAGCCAGACAGCTCTGAAATTTTTAACAAACTCTTCATTCCAATCAAAGTTGGTTTGGGAATGTTCTCAACTTGTCAATACTCTAACATCGAGGAACTATGTTACTCTTATGTGGATACCGGGACATGAGGGCAATGAAATGGCCCTCTCCCTAGCAAAAAAAGATGCATGTACTTCTTTCATCGATCCATAGCCTTGCTGTGGGGTACACAAATAACTAATTATGTGAACGGAAGAAACAAAGTCTACTTGAATACTGGAGAACCTACACAAGCATGCGACAGTCAAGAAGTTTCATTGCTTGTGCACAAATCAGGATCAGGAGTTGACACTATCGTTAACCTTAGCAGAAACGATTTTAAATTCTATATTGAAGTACTTACAGGACACTGTAGACTTAATTATCACATGAAAAATATAGATTCGGTAGAAAATGATTCCTGTCGACTCTATTATGAGGAGAAGAAAACATGAGAACATGTTCTATGCAACACTGCCCAGCGGCAGCAACACGTAGACTTGAATACCTTGGAATCTTGGTGCCAAATCAAATAGATAAAATCAAGCCCACAGCAATTAGGAGATTTATAAATAGTCTAGAATTGTTTTAGTTGGGTTTTTAGGCGCACAATAGATCTTTTACGTCGGGGTGCATTCATAGCTTATTATTTAATAATTGTAATTGCAAAGCACACTAATTAATATATTGTTATAAAACTCAGCGCCATAATATATTACTAATTTACTATGAAATTCAAAAATCCATTTGCATAGAATTTTTACTTTTGTTAAAGATTTTCTAGAAGACTCCCTTTCGCAACCTTAAATTTATAAGTCCTAAATTTGCAATAACCACCCTTTATACTTTCTTTTTCTTGAGTAACTTCAGAACTGCGTATGAACTGTTTCATTCTAATAAAATATTCTTAACACCTAACTTACTTTATATATGGTATATGTTATTTTTGATGAAGTATAACTCAACACATGAAAGTTACTAACTACAAACAATGTATATACTCACCCAACAATAACAGCACTCCCAGAAATGATACGCAAGAATATAGAAATGGCAAATGTACGCTGCCCAAATCTGTGAAGCAGAACGGGAAAAATAAAATAAGTAAAAGTTTGCAATCTAAAATAGACGAAAATAAATTCATTTCCTGTTTTAAATTAATTTCATAGGAAAGTTCATTTATTATTAAATCAAATAATGTTGGTTTTTTACATTCATTTGCATTCATGTGCAGTAAGTGCAGTAAGAACGTAACAACTTACTAAGAACAGATAAAAATCCAATTCTTTTCGGATCAATAACAGCGGAAAGTACATAAGCTAAAGCTAGTACCACGCTAGCTAGCAAGCTGAACACAGTAAACGTTTCATAGACACGTGAAATGATGCCCTTTTTATGCCCAAAAAATCCAGTCGATTCGGTGAACAAGTAAGCGAATGGCAAGAACACAAACAGCGACAAATTCGAAAACAAAAATATGTGATTCCACAAGCCTGTGAGAAATGAAAAATTTAAATAAAAATTGGCTTAAAATTTGTATAATTTAAAAAATTACCCTGAATTAATGAACTGTTTAACCACTTCACATAGTAACTATTCGGATACAATAATAAAACTTCATTACTGGCAATGGAGACTGGCAGTAGTAGGGCGGCGCCTACAGCAATCGCCATGGAAAAAGTGCACAACCAAGAGCTGAAGAAAAATCAATAATAAAAATAATAATAATAATTAATGTGACAAAAAGTCAAATTAACACTTACCTTATGCGATATACCAATACTTCATCTTCATCATTAGAAAATAGATCATCACGATCTTTTCTCCGAAAGCGTGATACTACTGCATATGAAGCCAAGTAGAGAGACATTAATAATAACAGAAATATCTGAAAAATTGAAAATATGAAATCCATTAATATCAACATTTATTCCAAAGGAAAGTTTAAGCATTTATTGCAAAGATACATAAAAGACTGCACAAATGGAAATATGAAAGCATTGTATTTAGGCCACTAAAGTGTTCCATAGACTGCATTTGAATTTATTTTTATTTAATTAAAAATTATTTTTTTTTATGAAATAAACGCATTCAAATTTTTTGAATTTTTCCAACAGTTCTTTTGGATGGTGGTTCTATGACATAATGTAGCCATAATGTATCTGTTATCGTGTATTGTGTAAAGCAATTTAATAAAAGCTTTTTAAATGGAAAGGGCATTGCATTATTTACGTAAACGAAACAAAATGTTTTTTTTTTAATTTCTTAATTCGATTCAATAGATCCGTCGTCTTTGGAGCATTTGAGTTAAGCGAAACTTTTATATTTGAAACTCTAGCGAAGGGGTAGATGGTGTAGGATCGATAACACTCGATTACAATTTTAAAATTAATCCATTATATCATTTTATTTATCTTAAGAAATACATAAGTTTATTTATGCATATTTTATATACATTCCAAGATAAAGTTTTAAAAAACTGTCAGAATATAGAGATCTATATACATAGTATAGAATAACGAACGTTAAATAGACGTCTGTCGTATGCAATCTAGACTACTGTTATTGAATCAATATGATAAAAAAAAGCAAGATTTTTAAATATTGTGTCGGATATGTTTCGGGAAAGATTGTTAAGAGAATTATATTAAAGTTTATTTAGTTTAAAACATTGACACTAAATCAAATAAAGAAACAGAAACATAAATAACTTTGGAAGAGTTCGAACAGTAATGAAGTACTCTACGTTAAAAATAATTTTGTATTATTCCGATAACACAGTTTTTTCAATAAAGCAGTTACTGGATGAATAAGTGAATGCCAAATCATTCAAAATGTATGTTGATCCTTTTTTCGAGTCAGCGCAACTGGGTACTTTTACTCTTTGATAGCTGGGGGTACTACAGGGTCCCACCCATCTCATTGACTAATTTATGTATTGGCTATAAGCTACATGATTATTCAGTGATTGATCTGCGTACCTCCCCGTGCGGAGAGTGATTACTCTAAGATTAGGTAGTGGTAAGAAGGATAGCCTGCCAATTTTCGCATATAACTTCAGGGCTCTGTCCCTTATGTAATTAGTGCATTTTACCACAGCTATAGATCAAAGATTGTAGATTGTATAGATCAGAATTTCTTAACCGACCATACATATATTTAGAAGCACCGGTTTATAAAATACTTTCACCTTTAGCAACATTTAAAAAATTAAAGAACTATTTAACATTTTATCATTAGATATATCTAAAGTACAACGTATGTTAATATTCCGATAAATATATAATATTATATATAGGCACGAACAAATTGATATTTTATTTTTTGAGAAAATATTAAAACCGGATCCTAAAAATATATTGAGTATGTTTACCAGCACTTGTAAAACATAAGGAATATTTCCCTGGTCCGCAAGAACAGGATTGAGAGCAAAACGCTCATGTTGATACACAGCTTTTTACCTTTAAAAATCGGGCCAATTGTTTTTGTTTCTGCCAATTGTCTTGTTGAATTTATTTAGTAATGTTGAATAATATATTTCAGTATGTACTGAGGAATTCATCAATAGTTAAAAATCCGGCCAGGCTTTCCTTTAACTATTTTAATAAAAGGATGTTTAACAGATTGCGTTCTTTGTTCAAGATCAGCAAATGAGAGACCACGAATTTTACAAAGAATTCTTATACAATTCTTATATACAAAAATCGATTGAAAAAAACGCCCGAGGCAAAGTTGCAACAGAAGGAAATATAGTTTGCAATTAAAATTGGTAACATCTCCGTTCTTAGCACCATCTTCCAAACATTGAGGTTGCTCAGATACAATGTTCTCTCTCTGAAAGATTTGACTTTTAGTCACATTGTGTAATTTCTTGATTTAACCTGAGGTAGTACAGAGATAATGCGGCTAAAATTCTTAATGATGTCTGAGAAAAATGTCTCGCTTGCCTACGTTATTTAGGCAGACTATTTTTTGTTTGACTCAAAATATCTTTTGAGTCAATATAACACAAAATATCTTTTGTTTAACTCAACTGTATGTCTATGTCATAATTCTTTTATATTACAAGATTAGCTAGTTGCAAGTTTTATTTAATTTTGGCATGAATTCATAATTTCTTAAAATGTTATTTCATTAATCGTATACACTATCGTATACTAGTTTACTAGATGACTCGTATGCTAGATATTTAAAAAACAAATATCTCTTTACTCTTAAAAAGTTTTAGAAAATGTTCCAAAAGAAAATATTTAACAATTTTTTGAAAAAAAAAAGTAATCTTACTATTTTCAAAAAAGTTGTCAGTCGTAAAGGCTAAAATCGTAAAAGGGATATAATAACACAAAAAATAGTAGTAATTCGTTTATACTTAATTCAATTCCAATCAATCTTTCGAATTTATGTCATAATATATTTTGTTGAGAAATTTTTAATATCAGACTCAGCTAAAAACTACCGTCAGTAAGTAAGGAATTCCATTATACAATATAATGTAAATATAAATTGCAATAATTTTAGTGCAGTAACTTTAATCAATATAAATATAAATTGAAATTAACGTTCAAAAGTTGTAAATACATTTGCAAAAAATTAATGAATCTGTTGTACTTTAACCCCTCAGGTGTAGACTTCAGACGTAATAGTACCTAACGATATCTTTATCAATAATTAAAATCAAAATCAATGATTTATTATACGCGGGTTACTTGATAAATCTACAGGCAGAAGTAGTAAAAGAATATATTATTTCTAATTTTTTATTTTTGAGTTTTATACTCGTACGGGTATTTTGCCACTATAGCTTTAGCAAATTGAGGACACAGAGAAATGTTAAATTCGCATTATCACATCATATTATTTTACATATAATACTTTATAGAAACTCAATATAGTGACTTAGTAGGAGGTACCGATTGATGTTTAAGGAAGTAATACTCATCAGCATACACATACAATTTTTAGCAGTAAATATATAATCTAATGTCTTTATAAGTAAAATAATACATTGGAACTTAGGGTAACGATGTTAAAAACGAACAACTCAGAAAAGAAGTTGCACCATTTCTTTAAATTGATTAAGTCATAAATAAAGAAATCTTTCAGGTTCTAAACAGATTATAAGAGTATTCCTAATTTTAGTTTACGATTACAATACATACGAAGTGATAAAACCGGCTTTTAATAATCAGGAGTAATAAATTAAAAGTTCTATACGACTTCTTATGATGCATTGCAAATTTGAATGGTCTATAAACAAACACAGATAAGACAAAAGTTCAAATTCAAGCATGGGTGTTTGTCAGGTTTTTTCAAAGGAATATAGTAAAAAATAAAACTCTGTAATATTTATTTTGTTGTAATCTCAAATTTGTTGCAACCCCACTTTACTTCTAATACATTTTAGATTCTATTAAGGGAAATAAAAGTATTTTATCTTAGAAAGGAATGAAATGGAGTAGAATGTATGGAAAGTTTATTCATAAGGAAACCAAAATGTGATTCCACATTGCTAGACTGATGAAAAAATATTTTAAATAACTGAATTGGAAAATCCTATCCTACTAATTATATTTAACAGGCATTGTGCCTATTGAATCGACTATTTGGACTACCGATCTTATCTAATTAGAGATTGATTAATTCTTTTAAAGATACTACCCAAGGATACCGCCTGAATGATAGGTAAAGTTTGAAAAATAAATTTAAAATAATATAAATCAATTTTACTTCTCTTAGGTTTTAACAAATAAAGAATTAAAACAGTAGTTATCAATATATAATAATAAAGACTCTAGTGATGGATTTTCTTAATGGACCATAAATACTCAACAAATCTTAACTTTTATAGTAGACATTTTTCGAGCAGTAGACATTTTTCATGTTTAAAAAAATATAGAATGTATTTCGTCAACAATATCATAATCACCAAAATGATAAGTACTCACCCTCTTTCTTGGCTTGGACCACAGTTTGGTGGTTGTGTAGAATTTGACAAGAAATTTATTGTGACGAATAACACAGACTTGTGACGTTGCGATGATAGCGTAAATGAAAGTAGTATGTTATGTACCTCAACTCTATCCCGATAATGAAACGACCTTCTCATATGCAAATGGAGGAGTTATAATAGAGTCTTCATTAACCGGTTAATTAATATGTCATATCAGTGACAATGTTTTTCGATTGTTACCACTTCGTTAATTTAGAGTTTTAATTTTAAGCCATATTTTCGAATTATTGTTCCTTGTAGCTAGACTTTGTATTCATCTAGCACTACTCAATATTAGATCGTTCATTATTGTAGCTACCAATTTGTTTTTATTAATTATAATTTTTAAATAGAAAATAAGTCCAACTGTTTACTTTAAAAAATAAATTACAATTTCTTAAACACAAACCTCGTTTTCATGAATGCTATTGAACCCATAAAAACACACTTTTTTGTAAAAAATTAAACTTCGACAATAAAACGTCATAGAATTGATAATATCATTATAAAAAGTTGAACAATAGTCTATAATAAAATTTGTTAATCAGATAGTCTGGAAATGTACATTTGGGCAAAGTTCAAGCTTATCAGTCATTATAAAAAAATTATTCTGCTGGGTTTATTCATATAAATTGGCAAGTGTTTTCCAAGTGAACTTAGCAACGCACAATTCTTAGTAATAGAAGATTAAAATAATCAGCATATGAAATAAGATACATTTTGTACGCATTAGAAGGCGTATTTTTATTATGCATAAACTCATACATTTTCTTAAGTTTATTTATAAATACCAATTTTATTTTTATTAAAAATAAAAAGTTTTACAGATAAAGCAATTGTTGTCTTCTGACAATTGCATTATCTTACACAATTTTTTTTTGCAAAAAAGAAAAAATATA